TTGAACAGGGTAGGGGCCAGAACCGCCCCCTGCGGTACTCCTGACATCATTGGCCTGCTTGCAGAGAGCTGCTCGTCTGCTCTGACTTGGAAACTGACTGAAAACAAATATCTCTTGACAGCTGTGAAGTTTTAGAAAAAGAAAATTAGCTTCGAGTAGAACATTCAAAACTACAATTCTTTGTCCATTTTACCTTTTTCGTAACTGCTATAGTTTCGAAGATCCCTGTACTGGTCATCGAAAAAAACTCACCCTGTATGCAAAACGATTAGACTTAGGTATAGGAATGTGGAGTAAAATTCAAAAATGTAATAATATATAGGGTGTTCCATTTTAAATAAGCAAATTGATAATTGACTACTTTTTTTACGGTTTAACCGAAAGTGTTGCCATGTTGAAAATATTTTAAATCGCTTGCCCCCCATGACTTCGGCACACTGTCGATGGGATACCCTGTATTAGGGATGGGAGAAAAACATCGATGTTTGCGAAACGTTAATTTGTTCGATGCTCGATATTTTTACCATCGATGTTGGAAATTTGAGACATCGATAATAAATCGATGTTAGATCCTGAAATGAAAACATCGGACATTTGATATTGATACTAGATAGAAACATTCTCTGCGAACTCTTGGATAGCGCCGATACAAACGATACCGCGGCATAGCGGCCCATTTCCAGCTGCACCCGAAAAAAGCCTCTTTTTGCAATCAGTTGACGGAAAAATGTGGCAACTATAAGTTGAATAAATTTAGTCGATTATTTAATGTCATAGTAGTAGTAAAATAAAATTATTTAAGTTTAAGTTAACCAATTTGGAATTTGTATGCAACGGCAAACTATCAGAACATCGATGTGGTCAAACATCTGTCTGCGATGTTCCCCTACCCTGTATAGATGTGCATTTTAACAAGGATGCAATTCATCATCTATTGTATTGTATTATGAAACTGTATTGTTTTCCTTCTTATCGCAAATGCAGATTAAGGCCATTCTCATCCTGTCTTATCTCGAATAAAAACGTTTATTTCTCGATCAGAAGCGATGATCATAAAGAAGCACTTTTCTTTACTGTTCGTTTGTTTTGCTTTTATGCACGGATTTTTACGCACATTGTATCTAAAAGTAAATGTAACAAATTGAACGTGTCTCTGCCATTATATTTTTTTAAGTAAATCCGTGTTTTTGCCCTTGTATCGAAAACTACTTACAAGTCAACAAGTCAAGCCTTACAAAGTCAAGTTTAACATGACTGACACTTGATGGCGACTCGTTGTTTTTGCTAATCAGTCAGAGATATCCATAGAAACGGCAATCTGCGATTCTTTCAAATGGCCCAATATCTCAATCATTCAACATCATTCGTATTTTATAATTATATTTGTATAACAACAAACGCAAATGAATTTAAAACCGTTGAAGATGAGTATAAGACATGCCCATACCACATTTACGACAAACTTCTGGCAGGATCAAAAAATAACATACAACTCGTAGGTTTCTATTTAAAAATCAACAGTGTGACGTAGTATCTTGTTTATGAAATACCCTGTATAATCACTGTGAGAAAGATGTTCCCTTAAAAATCGAAGTTGGCGCGTTTTCTTCTCAAATCTACAGGGAGTCACAAGGGACAAATAAGTGTGCGCTCTTTTCGTTGGCCCACGCTGCATATTTAAACAGTAGTTTTTATTCGCATGAATCAAAAACTGCCATTTTTCGATCGGAAGCGATGATCAAAAAGAAGCACGTTTTTCTACTGTTCATTTGTTTTACTTTTACGCACATGTGCGCAAAGGTAAATGTGACAAATTGAACGTCATAATATTTTTTAAAGTATTTTCATTAAAAAGTAACCCACAGGCTTTTTAATGAATTACGTAGGTTTATATTCATCATAATTTAAAGTTTACTTACAATTTGTAAATTATAACTTTGTTACAAGTTCAGTCTCAAAGTCGTTCTAATGGTCTATTTTTCTGCGCTCGCCGATGTTGCCACATGCAAAGCATGGTCTTTTTAAATATCGCAAATGTCTTGCAAAATATGCATCTTATACAAACACAATACCGCGAAAGCAACACTCATTGTTGCACTTGTATATGCTTACAAAAGTACGCTTTTGAAAAATTACAAACGTTAAAACAATTTCAAAAATGGCATTGACAATGGCAAATTTTGAATATGAAGTTGACGCCTTTTATTTTTTACTGTTTTTATTTATTTTAGCTTATGATTCGTGTTATGTCTATCATTCGAATAAAAAATATTGTTCGATACGAGGGCAAAAATCCGTTTTTCGAACGACGACGGCGTTTGACACCCGAGACGAAGACGAGACACTTTTCGGTCTGGTATTGAAAACATGTTTACAATATTTGTATTGTTTTAGTTAAACGAGCAATCGCAATCCGAGAGTGAAGTAAAAGAAGATGATAACGAAACGGAAACAGCAAAATCGTGCGATGGACAAAATGTTCAGGAATGTCCGAAGAAAAAGAGGAAGAAAAAAAAGAAGAAAAATTCTGGGAAACATGCAGCCAACCAGCATCGCAGTAGCGAGGATAATGCAGATGTAAGTTGTTAGAACTAGTTTACATATTTTACCGGAATTTACATTATGCTGATACTTTCTGATGTTTATTATAGGAACACTGAAGAAAGTATGTGCACTCGTTATATGAATTGAATCTATATTTTCTTAGATTATGCTCTAAACCAGGGGTGAGCAACCTTTTTAATCCACGGGCCAATGTAAATTTTAAAATGTTTTGGCGGGCCGCACATAAAGTAACACTTATTAATAAATTTCCAAACTTTAGTTCTAATAAACATTAGAATAGAAAATATAAAATTAAAAAAATTGTAAAAATCTCATATACAAATTTTAATGCAAAAGAAACAAGAAAAGAACCAAAAAATGAATTTAGTTCAATTTTTTTGTGATAAATTTGGCACTGTTTTTCCGATGCAAGCTGTTCAATATTAGCCGGAATTGATGAGGTAGCTACGGTACGCAGCTTCATGTTTGTTTAATCTCATTTATCGTCTGTACACACTTTTTCGTCTTCCCCCTGTAGCTCACAGAGGAATTTTTTTTTGACTCATGTGACTTCCACATCTAATCTCGTGCAAATGAATAATTCGAAAAAAAATTTCTGTCAAAACGTCGGTCGGCCTTCTAAATCTCCATGAAAAAGTTGGTATTCACTTTTTCGCTACGATAGATAATAACCGAGCAGTTGACGGTTTTCAAATGCGTTGCAAATTTTTGGGCCTTCGAACACACAAGCGGATAGCCAGAGCACACGGCATGATGGTACCGTTGACGTATCGTGATTTGACGTTTTGTGGCAACCAATCAGAAATAAGATTTTCTCATAGAATATCTCCCCTGGGGGGATGTTCTGTGGGTTTTCTATTATACAGGTTCTCATCACCGTAATCCCAGGAGATTCAAACGATTTTAATATACTTTTTAATATGTTTGTAATTTGTATTTTAGTATGTATGTTTTAAGAGAGCTCTTGTTTTAAACTAATGACGACTGTGAATGTATATTTTAGACAAACTGATGATGGCGGAGAAAAACACCAAAACGTATTTATAACATTTTAAATGATAAACAATAAAATTGACTGACAGTCAGGAAAATATATACAATTAATATTAGCATATTATACTTATAATAGTATTATATAATCTCTATTTTAGAAGGCATGTTAAAAAGGAACATCCCGATAAAGTCGATCAAATCTGTCCTTTACGTGATCGCAATTATGCATGCTCTGTAATAAAAAAATATAATAATAAACTTTGCCTGAGCAAACATGAACGCAAGGAACACAATGTTGAGTATGCCAAAAGTTTATATATTTGTGGCATGTGTCAGTGAAACATTTTCGAAAAACTGCAATAGTCGAGCATTTTGAGAAAATGCATGGAGTCCTGATGGATAATGAGTGTATGAGTTTTACATCCAAAACTGAATTCAAACTTTTGGAGGAAAAAGTTGAGGCGGGAGCAAATTCTAAGTTTATTCAAAGCAGGGGATCCCACAAAACCAAAGATACTACAACAGATTCTTTATTTCTCAGAGTAGAGGAAAAAGGAATATAAAATTTCAAGGGACAAACAAAATTAATGGAAATGTTAGCATTAGATGTAATAAAACACACATTGGACATGAAAATAACTTAGGACATCTGACTCTTAATCAAAATGAAAAAAATTACATAGCATTAAAGATTTCATCCAATATACCCTTTGATTCAATATTGGATGAAGTTCGTGAATCTATAACCGCAGAAGGTGATATCAAGAGGCTACATCTCCTAACGAAAAGGGATCTGCATAATATAGAAAACAGCTTTAATTTAAATATTGAGCTGTTAGCATTAACATGTGGGTTAATGAATCACAGAATAATGGTTCTTCCGTTCTCTTTTATAAACGTCAACACCATATTCTCGAGGATTACCCACAATTAAAAACTGATGATTCTTGATGAATTACGACAAGGCTTTCCTTGCGCATTTATGATTAGCAATAGAAGTGACGAAAAAGTTCTTACATGGTTTTTTACTTGTATAAAAGACAAAGTGGGTGCCCTTTCTTCAAAAGTATTCATGTCCGACATGGCTGAGGCTTATTTTAATGCATATGTTAATGTCTTTGGTGCTCCTGAAAAAAGGCTGTTCTGTAGTTGGCACGCAGATAGAGCCTGGAGAAAAAATATGACTAAAATTTGTGGAAAAGAGGAGCAAATTCAGACGTATAAAATACTGCGTACAGTTTTAGAAGAAACTGATAGAATGCCTTTAATTGTATGATCAAATCAGCCATTTCTCACTTATTAAAAGATTCTGCGACAAAGGCATTTGGGGAATATTTTCAAAAGGAATTTTTAAAATCTACTTAGGTCATGGGCTTATTGTTACCGGTTACATTCAGGTTTTAATACAAATATGCATTTGGAACGGATGCATAGAACCCTCAAATACATTTATTTTCATAAGAAAAATAATAAAAGACAGGATACAATGCTGTCTGTATTAATGAAATGTGTGCGTGATCGACTCTATGATAGGATTATTACTTTACATAAAGGAAACATTACAAAAAAAGTATCTGATATTAGAACACGTCATCATGAATGGTCTGTTGTTTCCAGAAAGTGTTCTGAAGTGTATTATATACAAGAAATGGTGAAAGAGTATGTAATTTACGTTGCTTACCATGTAACACATGCATTCACAAATTTTCTTGCAGCTGCGTGGACTGCAGTGTGAAGTGGAATATGTGTAAGCACATCCATCCATCCAAATGTACGTTTATATCGAAATCAAGCAACAGTTCTTATAATAATATGCATTTAACAAACTGCGATATTATTGAGCGGAAAATTTTAGTGAAAGAGGCATAAAAAAATAAACCAGCTAAGATGATAAACGCGGAAAATTTTAAATTGGAAAAAGAAGACTTGCATGTGCAATTTAGAGAAGTGCTTGATGCAACTACAAATGTTGAACAACTTCAGATCATAAAAAATCATCTAAAGGCAATGAAAGTTGGTATTGAAACCTTAAGTATGCCAACGTTAAATAGTGATATAATAAATCAACAAGACTTAGAAAAAGTCCGGTTCCTCATAACAAAAAAATACTCCCACAAAGACTATTTTCAACGAAAAAAAATGTTTGAGGAATAAAGACGGTAGTTTATCCACTGCTAACCAAGAAGACCTCCAAAAAATTGGGCTATCGTTAATTACTACTTGAGTATTCATTGTTAAATTAATTTTTCAGTTTCAAAAATAAATATTCTAAATTTGAGATTTGATAGACTATGATGCATAATCAGATTGATAATTTTAATTATAACCACAGCATGCGCACATAAGTACGCAATATTATACGGAATTTTATTACATAATTTTTTTTGTTATTCATTGAATTTACTATTATGCTTTACGCTTTACTATTATGCTCTATAGGAAGATCCTACATTTTGTAATGGATTACTTGAAGGACACAAAAAGTACGGCGGATCCATATTAACTGTTTACTAAGAAAAAATTATTATAACAGAACGTTACTTGTTGGCTTACTGACTTTTCTGAATTACGAGTGTAATCTAAAATTTAGGTACTTATTTCTGTAACACCCTGTATAATAATTGTTAATTTTAATGCAGATTTTTTTATATACATACGTTTATTTAATAATTTAATTTTACAGTCTAGGTAGCATTACTTAACTTCGTTAAAAAAATCGTTATTGGTCATCCAAAAAAATATTTAGTATTTTGAGTTTCTTGATCTTACTATCAGTCTTAGTTAATGTTCCTTATATGCAAACAAAATAACTATTTAAAACTACCGCAATCATGCAATGGTTATAATGCTTAAGGGTATTTATGTTAATTTTTGGCAAGTAGTAGGTTATTTTTTTTTATTTTTTAAGTAAGGACGCATTGTCAGGTGTGTCATGTACTCAAAGAAATAGTATTAGATTCTATTGAAAAAATTTGAGACACTGGTTTTCTCGTAAAGACGGTAGTTTGCGATTTAGGCACTAGCAATGTAAAAATGAGGAAACTGCTTTCTGTAACAGTTGAGAAACCATATATGTATTAATTTTCGCAACGAAAGAATATATTTTTTCTATGATACGCCCCATTTACTAAAATGTTTGCAAAATAATTTTAAAAAAATATGATATTCAAAGTAAAAATGAAGTTTGTGGTCATATATTCAAAGATTTTATGGGTTAGATTAAATAAAATTCCAAGAATGGCACCAAAGTTATAAAAAAGGTGTATTACGTTGCCCCTTTTTAGCCCTATGAGAGTGTGTTTAGCAACTCAGGTTTTAAGCCACTCGGTTTATGTTGGTATTTTGTGTCATGTTTCGATGAACAATTTACCTTCTAATGCAGTACATACGGCCAATTTTATATCACAAATTGACACGCTTTTTGATATTTTTATTTCTCAATTTTATAATGATAAAATATATAAAAAACCTATGTCAGTAAAATCCAGTCATCATTTAGAAAAACTGAAAGAATTGAAAATATATGTGGGTGATTTAAAAGTTATGAATAAAAAGTATTGTAATCCATCTTGCATTGATGGGTGGATTTCAAATATAAATGCATTACAAGTACTTTTTGACGAATTGACAACTAAATTTAATTATGAATATTTATTTACTCGACGTTTTGCTCAAGATCACATCGACAATTTATTCCCTATTATTAGAGGAAAACGGCAATAATGTAACACCCGACAACGTGAAATTTCGGTGTAGTTTACGTTCTGTAATGGCTAATCGGTTATTACAGTCGTCTACCGATAGTAACAGCGAAAAAGATGTCTCAAAATTTATTTTCCAAAAAAAAAGAAATTGAAAATAAAACAAAAAGTCTCAAGGCATTATTTTCCATGCAAACTTCAGTTTCATTGTCTGATTGTAAAACAGATATTAACGTAAACGCTGAAAAAATATCGGAAATATATGTATTGGGGTGGGTTTTCAGTGAAAATAATTTATGTGACCCAGAAAAAGACTCTTCATTACGAAACATTCAAATTTAATTCAAGAAATACACAGAATTGTCTAGACTAGTTTTTCAGTTGCAGAAAGTTGTTCGGGAGTAAAACATAAATTAGTTTTAAATTGCAAATGTCCTGTTGAAGAGCTGCTAAAAAATCACATTTGTGATAGTTGCAAAAATTTAATATAATAATAATATTTGTTTTTAAGGTCGATGAAGTGGAGCGATCATTGCGGGAAGTAAATAGTCTTCTGGGAGAAACACCGCAAATTGTGACCGAGAGCCGAAAAGCTCAACACCATCAAAAATCTATTTTGAATATTCAACATAAGCATCTGAATCCCAACAATGAGCTAAAGCGGATTTTTGGCTCCAAAGTTATTCAGGCTGAACAGTAAGTTTATATTTTTGAGCTATGTTGGTTCCATTTTACATTAAGAACGATCTCTGAAAGGTGTTCCAATATGAGCGCCGGGTTTTAAATTTACTTAAAACATATGAGCCGTTTATTTTGAAAGTGGCCTAAATCCAATTATCTTCAAATCGAGATATTTAAGGGTTTGCGTTCCGATGAATTCCGAAAAGCACCAGGCACACAAGAATGAGTCAAAGGACCTGTTCAGCAAAGTCAATCAAATTACACGTATGTTCAACTCAAAGTCCTCGGCAATAAGATCGGAATATGGTAAACTAATAATGAAAAATAAAATAAACTAATAAACAAAATTATTTTTGATGTTTTCCGCGATCTTTTTCAGTTACAGGGTGATGTAAAAAATAAACTTTTGGCTCCTGAAGTGAAAACATTTTCGACTAAAAACAAAAAGTAAAAATAAAGGGTTGAATTAAAATGACGCTTGTATAATCGCAAGWWYAATTGCKAAYKAAAKTGAAMKWKAATGYAAWTCMWARWCWWAGWCWAKTARGGTASTMT